TTTACCTATTCTTATTCCTTTTATTTCTTTCTCTTGTCTAATGGCTGTAGCTAATGATTCCAGAACTATATTGAATAGGAGTGTTGATAGAGGGCATCCTTGTCTTGTACCAGATCTAAGAGTAAAAGATTTCAGTTTTTACCCCATTTAGAATTATATAGATAGAGATATTTTGGATCAAAAGTATATGAAAGAATAAGGATTCATTTCAAAGAATATTGAAAAGCTGTCAAGCATATTAAGGATATAACAAGTGTTGATTCTTCCTACAAAAATTTAAGAAATTCCAGATGACATTCCCTTTGATATGGAGACCAGGTTGGACAAGACTTAAATCTTGTACAATGAAATATTTACTAAGTATTCCTTTTTTTGTGTTTAAAGCAATTGCATAATTCAAACTAAGGTATTTCAATGCAAATATGGATTGAAATCCTTATTTGGATTGTAAATAATTTTGTTCTTTTAAGGCTGGCTAAATAGCTCAGCAGATTAAAGTGCCTGCTTATACAGATGCAGGGGTCAGGAGTTTGATCCTCAAGCCTGTCGTGCTGAGCCAGTGATTGAGACTGGGCATGGTGGAGCATACCTGCAATCCCAGCACTTGGGAGACTGCAAACAGGAAGATCACTATGAGTCCTATCTACACAGTGAGACCCTATATACCCTGTATACCCCGTCCTAAGATAAAGAAAAAAAATTTGTTCTTTTACATAGATGGTGTTCTACTGGCTGAAAATTTCAGGGTATTAGAAGCAAAGACAATACCATCGACTTCATGTTTTAGTCATTCGGTGAGTTCTTAGGGACCAGTTGTCATTGAGTAGCTTCATAATAAAAGAAAATATAAATGTTAATAATAAAATAAAATACTTACAGAAACATTTTACCCCAATGCCAGAGTCATACTGTGTTGGTTTGAGGGAAGAACTGCTGGGTTAGCTGCTGAGTACTCCTCCACATCCCATCACAGCCAAGCATTAGTGATAGTGTCAGAGACACTGGCTATTATTTATAGGAAAAATTCAGTCTAAAAATAATTTCAAATCATCTTCTCTAATCTTGAGTAATTATTGTCTATTTTTATTGATTTTACATTAAATAACTTGCAAACTCATGCAACAACATTGTGTAATATTTAAGCACATGGACTATAGCATCATACAGATATGTTTTTAAGATCTAATTCTTCCAGTCCCCACTTTTATTTTCCTTCTAAGCTTTCATTTCTTACTACAAAATTAAAATTACACTTTTATCTTTCTCCTCAGTTGAAATAAATATTAAGCGAGGTCAATAAAATAACATGCTTAAAGCATACCATACACACATACACATACACACATGCACACACACACACACACACACACACACACACACACATCAAGGCCTTTGTTTCTAGTCCTGCTAGTCCTTAAAATATGTGCTTCCCCTGAGCTACTATGCTCTATCTTCCTATCTGTGCTTTTTCTAACTTATCTGCTTTTCATATTTAAGTTTATTTTCTAGACCACAATATAAGCACAGGTAATTATGTGTTTAATTGTATTTCAAGTCAATAGATGGTTTCTTTAGAAATCATCCACACATCAACAATAAACTATGCCTTACAGCATACAGGATATAACTTATCCCAACTGACATTGTGTATTCTAACATGTAGTAGATGCCTACATGCCTGTATCATTAACAAGCTCTGTGGTCTTCAAGGTCAAGGACTATGTCTTACATCATTTTACCCAGTGTTTCTCAATACTCTACTGGAGACCTGAGCCACAGAACATTCTCAGCAATTATTAGAATTTGAGATTAATAGAGGCAGGTATGATTAGGGGAAAGAGAAGTGCTCCACCCTTGTGGGTACTCCAAATAAGAATGAGCAGGCACTGAACAGTGAGAAGTATTGTGGACCACAGTACTGTGTCACCATAGCTGCATTTATCCAAGCCTGTGCCCCCAAACTTGGGCCAGACTACAATCTTAAAGGTTAAGTGTAGATGGAAAAGCATAAGCCCATTGCTTTTCCTTCTGAATATTTGGGAGCCTAAGTTTACTTCAAAGATTGCACACTTAGGGGCTAGCCAGATAGCTCAGAGGACTAAAGTGCCTGCTTAGGCAGAGCGCAGCAGCTGGGGTTCAATCCCCAGCATGCCATGCTGCCCCTGCCCCCAAGGTGCGCTGAGATGGCAATTGAGACTGGGTGTGGTGGCGCACGCCTGTAATCCCAACTCTTGGGAGGCTGAACACAGGAGAATCACAAGTCCGACCTATGTAGTGAGACCCTGTAGACCTTTTAGACCCTGTACTAAGTACATTTAAAAAAAAAAAAAGATTGGACACTTGTTGCTCTCAGAATTCCTCAGAAAATGGTGATCCTGAGCAGTATTTCTGACTTTAATCACTATTGTTATAACTAACAACACGCAAATGTGCATCCTGGTTCAGTGGTTCAGTTGTTTGAAGATGAGGGTTTTCTATTAAGCTTTGCTCTGAGTGACAAGAATTTAACTTATGAGCCATATCAGTCAGGGTCCTCCAGGTAACAAAACAAATGTGATAGATAGATAGATAGATAGATAGATAGATAGATAGATAGATAGACAGACAGATAGATGATAGACAGATGGATTAGGAGAATTGGCTTAAACAATTATGGACGCTAAAAAGATTCACAAAATGTTGCCTAAAAGACACAAAATCAAGGAAGTTGATAGCCTAGCTCAATTCAAATCCAAAAGCCTCAGAACCAGAAAAGCCCAGGGTATAATTCTCACTCTGAGACCAAAGGTCTGAGCAGCTTTGGGGCCACTTGTTCAAGTTCCAGAATCTAAAGTTTAAAGAAATTGGAATTCTGAATCCACATGTAGGATAGAATGTACATACCCCATTTATAGAATACAAAGAGTGAATTTGCCTCTTCTTTATCATTTTGTTCTAGCTGGAATCTCAACATGCTGGGTGAGGAAAGATCTTCCTTACTCACTCCACTGGTTCCAATGCCAAACTCTTCTAGAAATATCTTTACAACAAAGAATTTGTTATCTGCTGTTTGAATATTGCTGAAAAAGTAATCATCACATGAACAATATTTAAAAACCAATATATAAAAACTATTTTAACCAAAAATAATTTTTTAAAAGTGCACATATGTGCATATTCATATACAGAAAGAGAGGGCAGCTTACAGAAATTTTATTCTCAACTGGCATTTCCCAACTTTGGTTATACTTTAGAAAGAACTGGGAAATTTTTTTAAAATGTGATATTGCATTTACTATTTTTCTATCTCCAACTTATCAATCAGAATGTGGGAAGACTTCTTCCAAGAGATGCTAATGGAAGTCTTGCATGAAAACCACTGTCTTATCAGCACATCAGGGTCACTTGAAGTCAGGCCCAAGTTACACTGTCATCCTTTGTTACTGGTCCACGATGAAGATGATACTGAAATGGAGAGTGTGTTCTAATCCATTCAAGTTCCTTTAACAGAATACCATAGACTGAGGGAGACAAACCAGTGTAAATGACCAACCCATAACCCTGGAGGCTGGGAAGTGAGAGCCCCGGGCCTGGCTCCCAGAAGGCTCCTTCTTGTGTCCTTATCAGATGAAAGGGGCAAATTCATTGTCTGGAACCTCTTACAGGGGCACGGTGCCCATTCTGGAGGACTTCATCCTCACAATCAAATTATCTCATAAAAACTCCACATTCATAACAAAGTATCTAGAAACTTTATATAATATAACTTTAATTTGTGTTTATTGAATCCAATAATAAAAATGGATGGACTAGTGAAAAAAAATAAACTCACAAAGGAATATTTTGAATAACTCGACATCCACCTTTGGTAATGAGGATACAATGGATGCCTATTTTAAATTATTAACCACCTAAAGTTGAAATATTAAGGTCAGTAATAGTGCTTTCAGTGAGAACACTTGGGTACTTGGGTAGCAGAGGGTTAATGACCAAGAGTAGGGTAGGTGGGGTTTAAAACCAGGAACACAGACACTCCAACTTAGATAGCTTCCTTACTGTTTAATTACCCTTAAAACACACACTCTCATATAACACGGAAGGTGAGGGCTGAATGAAGTTTTCTGGGTAATGGCTTGAAATGTTTTCCTTATGAGATGTGGTGTTGAGTTACAGCACACAGCCGAGAACTGGGAGGAGAGAAGCTGCAGCCCCAACTGGCCCCCACCTTTCTTGGGCTCCTAGGAAGTTGGACCTAGGCTCCCAGAGACAGGGCCACTGACATGGCGAGCTGTCCTGTGTGCTGCAATCCCCTGCTCCCAGTTTGACTCAGGTCTCATGTTTACCAGGGTTTAGCTGGGCCAGGCGAGCAGGCACAGATGCTCTGCTGTGCAATGCCACGCAGGCAGGGACTGGCAGGCAGCGGGAGCTGAGCTTCCCCTTGGACTGACTGCTGTTTCCCCACTGAGTTCAGAGCAAGGGGTGATTTCTCTCAACTCTACTGCTGCTGCTGCTGCTGCTGCTGCTGTTGCTGCTGCTGCTGCTGTTGCTGCTGCTACTTCAACTCTGTCTCCATCCAGGTAAGCAGGCTCAAAGGGAGGGCAGGCTGCAAGGGAAGCCTTTGCACCATGAACAAGATCCGAAAGTTTTTCCGAGGAAGTGGGCGAGTCTTGGCATTTATCTTTGCGGCTTCTGTCATCTGGCTGCTCTTTGACATGGCAGCTCTCCGCCTCTCATTCAGTGAGATCAACACTCGGATCCTCAAGGAAGACATTGTGTGGAGGGAGCAGATAGGATTCAGAGTTCAGGCAGACCAAGTGAAGATCCTTTCCAGCAGCATCAAAGAGATGAGGCCTTTCCCTGGGGCACTTGGCCAGAGGGTGTGGGGTCAAAAGAACTTTAGAAAGATTGATCAGGGTGTGCTTGAAAGGAGGGATGATTTGGACCAAGCCCAGAGAGAAAGAAAAATGCAGAGCACCCTGGTAAGGAGCAAAGCCATGCCTTTGTGGCACCCTGCACATCGGCAGACTCCCGTGGAGACTTTGACCAAGCAGAAGATAGAGGTGAGAGACCGCAAACCGAAAGCCTCTTCTCTTCAGATGACACCAAAGCAAACAGTGCAGGGGGCTCAGAAAACCCCATTCATACCAGCAAGAAGAACTGCACTGGTCAAAATATCAGGACACAGAGGACCTGTCAGTACAAAGCAAGAAGCCCTGAGGTCTCATAATCTCAGCAGTGACACATCAAAACAAACAACAGAGAGGGACCTCAATGTGACCATTGATTTTAGAACTCACAAAACGAAGCAGCAGTCACAGGCAGTAGCAGATAAGAGGACATACCCTGCCAGCCCACCAGTGCCAAACTCAGAGAAAGCCACAGCCTTAAATAAAACTAAGACTCAGAGCAAAGAACTATATGTAAATAAACACAAAGTCCGTCAGGCTCTTCCTTTTTTCAAGTTCATCACTGACTCAAATGGCTTAAGGAGGCCATCTGTGAGAAGCTTGCCAAAGGATGCTGGTGCCAAAGCAGCTCTTAAGAATGAACTCAATTTCTCTGAAAGCCATGTTGTGATTGTAACCAAGGAGGAGGAACTAAACACAGACACCAAAGAGATGTCCAACTCTAAAATCAAAACTGTATTTCCTGAAATATTAGATAAAAGCCAAGGAAAACAAATTTCCAGGATTAGAAGCATAGCATCTTTCACCTCACCTGCTTTACAGAAAGCACCAGCATCTCAAGCAGGACACAAAGTAGATGAAGGGCTCAGACCAGCAAGAATTAATTTAACTGCTAAGGCACAGCCTGCAGAACACAGACAAAGTCATACGGAAGTCTTTTTGCCTAAAGACCAAGGGATGCACCACATATTAAGAATAGATGTGACACTTTCTCCGCGGGATCCCAAAGCTCTGGGTCAGTTTGGACGTCCTGTCAGTGTTCCTCCTGGAAAAGAAAAGGAGGCAGAAAGAAAATGGAAGGAAGGAAACTTCAATGTCTACCTTAGTGATATGATCCCAGTGGACAGAGCCATTGAAGACACAAGACCTGCTGGGTAAGACCCATTTCTCTCCTCTTTCCTGAGTCTCAACTACTTTGACTTTTATATAGAGAAGATTTATTTTGAAATAATTTTGCGTCAATTCTGACCAACTAAAGAATTAAAGCAGTATTAATTGTTAGATCCTATCCAAATGTTCTATCTAATATCCCATTGTATTTCCTTCCCTTTGGGGCAGAATGCTTGCCTAGCATGTGCAGTCCCCCACACTTGCCTAGCATGTACAAGGCCCTGCGTTCAATCCCCTACACTCCCTAAAAAGGTCCCTTGCTTTTGTAGCATTAACTGTTCTGAGTGAGCCCGTAGATGAATGCCATAAAGGCATGAGGTGGCATGCATGGCTCAAATTAATGGCCAGGGTGCCCAGAAGTTATATTCTGCTCCCAAAGTAGATAGTGCTACAGCTGCTCCATGCGCCTCCAGGAATAGTCCTTGTAACAATTAAATTCCTGTATTTCCACCATCAGAAGGTCAACCAAATCACAAATGCTTGATCTGGTTTAAATATAATTTTGTTTCTAGCTTTTCTAGCCCACTCCAAAGTGAGGGTACACTGTAGCCATATTTTCACTGCTCATTAATTGATCCTTCAACTCCAAGTGTACTTTGATTTTCACTTCCCTGAGCCAAACAATGATTGCCTGAACTATATTCATTAGTAAAAGGAGCCTCTTCATTATAATGTCAGCTATGATGAAGCCATTTTCAATCTCTTACTACTGGCAAACAGCTATTAGCTGTTAGAGACTAACTGCCCATTTAGAACAAGCACTGCACCTTCTGCACTCCTCATCTTGGTGTACAGCCGTGATGAAAACACAGAATAGCCACAGGTGGGAAAACTGAGGCTCTGTGCCTGTGATTGTGGAATGAGTAATAACTGAAGAGAAGTACTTCAAATCCACACTCAAAATTATGCTAACACTCTCCCTCCTCTTGTTTATCCCTCAAGAATGAGCTTCGAAATTATATTGGCCCAGAACTAATCTGCAACCCTGTATTTCATAGGATTACATGCACTCTTTTAGACAGAAAATGCAAGGGCATTCAGCGGTCACTTAAGCAGGTTTGTCTGAAAAAGCCATTAATAGCCAGGCAGACTCTAGTGGGTTTGGGAAAGAATCACACCCAGCACAGAAGCAGGAGCTCAGCTCGAACTGAGCAAAGGCCAGTGTGTGAAGCCAAAGCAAGCCACAGCAAAGCAGTCCTCATGTGATGGCTCCTAGGGCTCATTAGGTTCTTTTAATTTGGTCTGTGGAAATGAAACCCTAAAGCCCAGAAACAGTTAATGCTTCATTTTTTGGATCAATTTTGTATACTTATATCTAGGAATCTGGTCATCTGAACAACTACTTTGAAGATAACAATATACACTTTAACTACTATTACTAATTTCCTATCATCTGGTTTCAGAGTTCTATATAGCTTTTAATTTTTTTTAATTTTTATTATCTTTAAAATAAAAAACCCTGAAACACACTAAAATGTTATATAAAATTATTTTCAGGCTGTGTATACAAGACATACATTACAAAAAGAATTTCAGGTTTTAAAAAACTCTCGTCTTGAGGAAGGTCTCATTCTGGCATCTCTGTTCTGCTCTGTAGACCTGGACCCCTGGCTCAGAACTTAGGACAAACTCGCTTGATTCTTTTGTAGCTTCATTCATATATATTGAAATCTAATAGACTGATTCTTCCCATGTTGTTTTCAAATTTGTCTGTTTCTTTCACTTCTTCTGTTTGTTTAGTTATCTTACCTAAACTAACAAAAAAACTTCCTATGATTTTTATGAGAACTATGTTAGACATGCATATCATTTAGAAAACAATCCATCTTTTTACAATGTTGAGATTTTCATCTTTTCAAAGTAGTTGTTCAGATGAACAGGCATGTGTCTCCATTCATTTAAATATTGTATGTGTTTCATCAATGTTTTATAGCTTTCATGTATAAATTCTAATTTCAAGTACTATTATATATTAATTTTGATGTGCACTATTGGCATTGTATTGAGTCATATTAAATAAAATTAAAATTTTAAATTTACATTTTTTTTACCTGCAATAAAATAGTTACAGTCAGACTTTGTCCTCTGGAGGGGCTTGTCCAAGTGAGCAGAACTGCAGCGTGACCCTGCGGTGGCCAGTCAGAGAGCACACAGTCAGCACCCCTCCCTCTTCTCACACAACCCACCTTGGCTAAATAGAGGTCCATTCCCTCCAGATCTGCTGCCTGCCAGCTGCTTGGTTGCACCCCCAGGACAGAGGGGTTGTGGAGCTCCCCAAAGCCTGTGTTGCCCTCTCGTTCCATTCTTCTTTGAAGGAGGATAAAAGATTGTTTGCTTTTACCCAAACATTCTGATGATAAATACATTTAAATTATGTATTTGATGGATAAATATTGAGAGAAAATATAAGCTAAAAGTATTTTATTCATCAAACAGGAAAGATTTGAAGTTTTGCTCTTTGATTTTATTTGAAGTCTTGCTAAGAAAGTACTTAGATGCCTTACAACAATACGTACAGTAAGATTTTTAAAGATAACAGATTTTAAAATTCAGCATAAGGAGAAAACTGTAATGTGATACAATCATAAAATGTATGTGGGGAGGAGTGAAACAGCAACTTACAGGTCTATAAAGCACAGGAGGATGCCCGGGCTACAGCGCTGCCCGCAGCAACCTTGTGTGTGCGAGCACTCTGCAGTCCTTTGCATCCCCTCATATCCACCACGCCGTTTTACAGTTAATCAACACAGTATTGAGCTGTTCATTGAATATAGATTGACAAAAGATAACATAAATTTCACATATTCATTTAAGCTCAATTCCCTTCAGTAAAGATAATAACTAGTTACTAGTTAATAACTTCTTATGGATGAATTAGCTGGTATTCTAGGACAAGACTAATGTTAATTAGAGGAGCAAAGTAGCGGTACTAGGTCAGCTTCTCCTACCTTAGCTCTACAATCAGACTCCTACAAGGTATTTTAATTTTTTTTTTTTATTGTTGGCTGGCTCAGGCTGCCTTAAGGGCAGGTCTGGTAAGGCCTGGGAAGCTGGGGATCGAACTGCAGTCCTTTGCTCCTGATTGGGTTTGCCCCAGCAGGCGCTTAAACAGCTGAAGTAACCCACAAGCCCCCCAAGACTCTTACAAATCTGCCTTTTTCTCTTTTCCCACTCAAGTCTTAGAGAACCATTTGTAAAACATTGATATGCAATTTCAAGTTCTTTTCAAAAGCACAAGTGCTCCCTCCACCGTTAGTGTGGCTCACATTACCCTTTCCAGTGGTGCCCATGCCTCCCCCTCTTGGCCTGGACCTCCAGCAGGAAGCACAAGGGGCACTGGGGCCTTGGCAACCAGGAGGCTTTCTGCACATCATGTTCATCACCATCCCCTGAAGCTCTTATTAGCTGGGCTGTCATGCCACCTGCCTGGACCCCACACTGGCGTGGCCCTCACCACTTTCTACCACACATGCTAATCTAGCATTGCTCTTAATCCAACCACAGCCTCACCCCCCCCACCATGGCTTTGCTGTGGCCTCTAAATTCCAGCACCCTTAATGTACGCAGCCTCTCTCAGGCTGCAACCCTTGGTGCAAGCTGCACTGACCAGTGCCTCGAGCACCTGCTCTCCCTTCTCAGTGAAATCGTACACTTCTTCAGGAAGCTGCTTTTAACTTCATTTCACATTCACTTGCCACTGGGAATGATGCTGTGTACTCCAGAGACACAGGTATATTACAGGGATTGAAAGTGTGTGTGTTTATTTATTTATTTACTTATTTATTTATGTATTGTATTTTAGTACAGGGTCTACAAGGTCTCACTGTATAGCTCGGACTTGTGGTGATTATCCTGTTTTCAGCCTCCCAAGTGCTGGGATAACAGGCGTGCACCACCACCCCTAGTCTCAATCACCATCACCGGCTCAGTATGCCCCAGGGGCATGGTCAGCATGGAGGCCGGGGATCGAACCCCAGTCCCTGTATCTGCCTAAGCAGGCACTTTAATTCGCTGAGGTATCTACTGTATGTTTACCTGAAATGACTTTTGGAAAATTGCTCCTACTGTAAAAGAATAACAGAGATCGCAATTAAAATAAACATTGTAATAAATCTAAAATTAATACTTACATCCTGATTTTCCATTTCAAATGTGAGGAATCTATCAGCATCTAGTTTTAAGTAACTATATCCTGCTTAATACTGTGATTTATTAACTGATTCATGTTTGTTCATATTTTGTCATTGCTTTCACTTTTAATTGGAAAGTTTTGCTTTTAAAGAATGGGAATCTCTTTAGCTCTGGCTTTTAATTTTAATGTTTGCCATTCAAGGGAGGGAAATCTCTTTATTTAAAAGAATATTTTACATCAGTAGGTAAAATATAATCTCATCTTCACCTAGAATGTTTGCCTGTAAAATACACTTAAATTTAAATGCTTTTTTGACAATCATTTTAAATTCCATATTTAATATTTTTTATACAGAATTAATCTTTTCTGTTCTTATGCTTAATTATTGAAGTTCATTTTCATGAGCTACACACTGGCATACAATTTTTTGCTGAAATATAACCTTATCTTCTAAAAATATAGGGCAGTTCTACTTGGAAAAATCAATCTTTTGGCCAGTAGCTGTCATTAACATGGGACTCCAAAAATGAACTTCAGAGTGTACTTTCTGAACCTGGTTTAGAAAAAAATGACTCAGGAATGTGTGCTGCCATCATTCAGTTTTTAAAGTACCAGAAGAATGTGTGTTAGTTGGACGTGGTGTTTTGAGATTCCTGGTTTAATGCCTTGCTTCTCCTAGATAACCCTGGCGAGCCCTTCCAGGAAGCAAATAAAATACCTCCTTGCTCTCTTACTGCAGAGTTGGCGACATCAATCTGTAATTTGGGTCTTCCTTGCCCAGCTAAGGGCAGTACTCTTGTGGCCCATAGCCCTGGGCGCTTGCCACAAGCAGCCTAAATTACTGAAGAGAAA